CCCCAAAACCCCAAAACCCCAAAACCCCAAAACCCCAAAACCCCATGCCTTACTTTTAAATAAAATTATAACTTAGAGGCTTCAGGAAGCTTCTTTAATGGAAACAAAAGTGAATCCCCTCTTGAAAAATTCACCTTTGATAAAGTGACTAAGTTCTCAAACTTATAAAATTTCTTCATTGCTGGGCTGACCATTGTTCAACAAAACATCTCTTTAATAGGGGCAATCCTGTTAAGTCTTTCTGCTTCTGATTTCATTGCATACTGGGCATCTACGTTAATTACGAGGGAAGATTTATTTGCCACTCTTGGAAATCGGAATATTATCTATACTATGCCTGCTCCTTTTAACCTGAGTCATTGGCCTGATTATTTTTACTGAATTATGTTCTAAAATTACATCATGTAATTACTATTCATTCTTTTTGAAAGTATTCCTAAACATTAATACCAAAAAATACCTTTACTATTAGATGGGCTTGTATCGTACTGACTTAATTTCCTTCTCCTTTTAAATAAATTTGGAGTTTCAGCGCACTTAACACCTGAATTCCTCCAATTTGTGAGCCATGCCTGCCTACAAGTTCGAGCTTCTTCCTTTTTGTTTAAGTCTCGATTACATGAAGAGTGTTTTTGCCTCCTTGGCTTTACCTTGGTGAAATTCATAAGAAAATTTGTAGTACTTTTTCTATAAATAATTTATAGTCGCCATTTATAAATTTTCATGAATTTTGGATAATATTAGGTAAGGGAGAGTTGATATACCTTTTTACTGGCCTGAAAGCATGATCAAAACCTTTCTCTTCATGGACTTCTTCCTCTTCCATCTCTCTTTTCTGCTTAAGCATAGCTTCAGACATTTTGACAATGTTGTTTTTCATATTATTTTAATCTTTCTCTTTTTACTGGGTCGAGAATATACTCAATCTTTTCGCTAAGGTCTTCTCTCATATCACCCTTGTTTGTGACTCTATAAATTTAGAGATTAGAAATAATTGATTACTTCACTATAGTTCTTTCTTCAGAGAACTCTACTTCTTCAGGAGTCTTTTCACATGTAGCAATACTAATCAGTGAGAGTAGGTCATCCTTGAAATTTCTTCGGAGGAACATCTCGATATAAGTCGTTGATACCGTTATTCCTTGCATTTCATAAATACAAAGCCGGAAGATCTTTAGCCCGCACTGACGAGTGAATAATAGTCTACTACTTGGGAACATCTGGTAGAACAACTTTATATATGCATGAGCAAATATAAAGGGAATTAAGTGCAAATTTTTCTTCTTATCTTCAAATTTTACATTTCAGAAAAACTGGTTATACCCTTTTGCAAATGAAGCAGAGATAAGCTTCTGTAGTTCACTCTTTTTCTTCTCTTGGAAAATTTCATAGAAAACCAGCCAATAAAGAGAATAAAAGCATCGAGGATTCACCTGATTTATTATCTTATTTGAGATTAGCAAATCTACTTGGAAGAGCCTCGTTCAGAGGTTTTGGGATAACATGGGCATTCTCATCTCTATTGAAAGATTAGGGGTAAACATGAAAGTATAAATAGAAAAATCTTACTTAGGCTTTCAAAGTTCATTGCAAGTTTGAAATAATCAATCAAGGTAACTCTCAAAATGCTTCTTGAGAGACCCGTCTCTCTCAATTGTGATAGGCATGTAGTTAGTGCCTGTGAGGATGATGTCCTGGACTCCTCTTCCAACACCTTTGTGGTTAGTGTATTCCATTAACTAGTTTCAATGATTCTTATAATAAAAGGGGTTTTGGGGTTTTGGGGTTTTGGGGTTTTGGGGTTTTGGGG